GCTATGGTCGACTAACAGGTGTCTCCGGTCGAGCACCACGAGCTTTGGTCGACCACAGGTGTCTCCGGTCGACCACCAGGTGCCTTTGGTCGTCCACCAGGTGCCTCTCATGGACCACAGCTCCTGTCGAGCTGCCCCATGGTCAATGGACCCCTTCCGTTGACCAGAACCCTCTGTTGATGTCGCCGAGCACCCCTCGTCGATCGTTGCTCACATGTCAGGTCGACGGACTGCTTTGTCGACCTCCCCGTCGAACTGGAACTCCTGGTTGACGGCCCACCCGTCGCCCAGCCCAGTCAGCTGCGCCCGTCGAGCACCCCTTGTCGACGGAAACCCCACAGTGACACCCTGCAGCTCGACGAAGCCTGTCGAGCAGCTCCCTCACTGCGAACGATCGGCTGCTTCTCCTATACATCCAACCAAGTCGTCGGCATTGCCCAAGCGAGGGCGGGGCCAGCACTCCACTCCCATTAACACTCCCTTGCCGCGCTCACGCTTGGGCCTCCAGCCCACACGGCAGTACTTCACGTCCTCGACGTGCACCTCTCAGACAGCACGCCGTCACCACACCAACCGTGCAAAAGGGCACGGCACCTACTGCTGCACATCATTGTCGCCGTCGCCGACGTTGGCCAGGCAAACTGGACCGATGGCAACAGAGCACCGGTTGAAAGCCGGAAAATGCAGCGCCTTTGTCATGAATTCTGTCGGCTGCTCGGTGGTCGGGATGTACTTCAGCACGAACTTCCCACGCCTCACAATGTGCTGCAGCCAGGCATAGCATCGCTCCATGTGCTTGAGGTTGCCCGTGAACCCCAAGCCCTCAGCGACCGTAATTGCCGACTTGTTGTCGACACGGAGGATGGTCGGCTTCCCAGCGTCGAGCAGCTTGAGTTCCGCAAGAAGGAAGCGGAGTCGGCGTCCCTCCTTGCCTGCATCCGTAAACGCCACGTACTCCGACTCGGTCGATGACATTGTCGTGCACTTGATGCGCGAGCTCGACCAGGAGACAGCGGCCCCTCCGTAGACGAACACGTAGCCGCCCGTGCTCGTCCGGTTCTGCTTGTCGCCCGCGTCGTCGGCGCCCACGTAGCCGATCAACACTAGCGACCCTGGTCCACCGCCAAACTCCAGGGCGGTGTCGCGGATGTCTGCGAGGTAGGCGAGGCAACGGTCAACCTCGTGCCACTGCTGGTCGCTCCTCACCGTGAGGCCGCTCCCCAGCTTGCTACAGGCGTACGCGACGTCCGGCCTCGTTGTCGTCGCCGCGAACTGCAGTAAGCCAACCTTCTGCCAGTATTCCTCCTCCTCGCGCTCGTGGGCCTCCTCGTCGTCGAACGTCAACTCAGCGTAGGCGTCGACCAAGACCGGCGTCTTCGGGACTCGACCGCCCTGCTCCTCGTCGATGAAGCGCCTATGCAGCTTGTCGGCGTAGTTCTATTGGTGCAGCCATAGCTTCCTAGCCGGCCTGTCGCGCACGATCTCCAGCCCAAGGTACTTCACCATCGGCGAGATCTCGCGCAGCTCGAAGGTGGCCTCCAGCAGCTCCTTCAGCTCTTCCTAGCTCTTCTTCCAGCCAGCCCCCAGCAGCACTCCGTCGAGAGCTCTGTACCACATCAGCGGCGACTGCTTCAGCCCGTAGAGGCTCTTCAGCAGTTTACACACCCGGCCGGTCCCATCGTCGAAGTAGTCCGGCTGGTACATGTAGAGCACCACGTCGAGCTTGCTCTGCAGGAAAGCATTCTTCATGTCGAGCTACATCAGGTTGAGGTCGAGGACGGCGACGATGCTGAGGAAGATCCTCAGCATGACGTAGCTGCTCACCGGCGAGTACGTCTCGTCGTAGTCGGCGCCGTACACCTGTGTGAAGCCCTTCACGACCTAGCCTCGCCTTCTCGCGCTCGACAGTGTCTTCGATGCGGTACTTGGTTGTCAGCACCCACCGGTTCTTCATGATGCTCATTTCGCGTGGGCGTTCGACCAGCTCCCAAGTACCCATGCCGATGAGGCTGCGGATCTCCTCTTCCATGGCGGCCTTCACCGCCTCGCCCTTCCAGCTCGTCCTGCCATCCTCCTGCAGCACGTAGCCAGTGTAACACACACAGGTAGCCATCTTGTCACCGGGAGAGCATCAGCCGTTCGCGCCACAGTTCTGGATCTCACAGACACCTGCATGGGGGGAGAGGCAGAAAGCAGGGAAGAGGGGTGGAGGGGACATGTAAGTAGGAGAAATCACAGCAGCATACAGAATAGCGCACAGAATCACATGGAGTAGCACAGAGCAGTTTCATCACATACCTTTGCACGTCCTGCCATCGTCCTGCAACACGTAGCCAGTGCTACATTCACAAGATGCCACTCCAGTAATGGTGTCCTTGTTGCACCGGCCGTTCACACCACAGTTCTGAATCTCGCAGGTGTCTGTGTGGGGGAGGGGTGGAGGAGAGAGGAGAGCAAAGGTGGAGAGAAGTCACCAAGAGGTAACTTGAGATATCTATTAGAAAAAAAAAACAAAACAAAAACAGCACACACACACACACATACACACACACACACACACACACATACACACACACACAAACTGTCACAGAATGAAGTGCACACTACAAGGGCACAACGCAGCTGGCGAACGCACCAGTGCCCGTTGCTGCCAAGGCGTATCCAGTCTTGCACACGCAGGTCGCAAGGTTGCCATTCTTCACACAAGTGGAATTGGCATCAGAGCCCTGGCAGTTCTTGATGACGCACACATCTGACACAAGGGGACGGCCCGGATCGAAAGAGAAGTGAGATGTCATAATAGGTCTTTGAGAACCATGTGAGCATTGGAATAAATCAACTTGCCGTGGATTCAGCACAGCAGCACATAGAAGCTCCTCAGCACAGGAGCACATACACAGAAAAGCGCACATGGAGTAGCACAGAGCAGTTACTTCACAAACCTTTGCACGTCCTCCCATCCGTCTGCAGCACAAAGCCAGTGTCACACACACAAGACGCCACTCCAGTAATGGTGTCCTTGTTGCACTTGCAGTTCACACCACAGTTCTGGATCTCGCAGGTGTCAGTGTGGGGGACGGGTGGAGGAGAGAGGAGAGCAAAGGTGGAGAGAAGTCACCAAGATGTAGCTTGAGAGAGCAATGAGAAAAGGAAAGAAAGAAACGCACACGCAGACTTTGTCACACGCACAGAGTCAAGTCACACACACAGTCACAGAATGAAGTGCATGCTACAAGGGCACAACGCAGCTAGCGAACGCACCAATGCATTTGGCGGTTGCTGCCATGGCGTATCCAGTCTTGCACACGCAGGTCGCAAGGTTGCCATTCTTCACACAAGTGGAATTGGCATCAGAGCCCTGGCAGTTCTTGATGATGCACACATCTGACACAAGGGGACGGACCAGATTGAAGGAGAAAGGAGATGTCATAATAGGTCTTTGAGAACAATGAGAGCAATCAAACATGAACACACACACACACACACGCACACGTACGCACACTCACGCACACACACACACACACGCAGACATACACTCACACATGAGCGTGTGTGCGCGCGCGCGCACACACACACACACACACACAATCACACACGAGATGGAGAGGGTTGAGCTGAAAGAGGCAAAGCGAGGTGGGATAAAAAGGTACGTTCGACAGAAGACTGAAACTAAGTACCAACGGAATGGGGAAGGGAATGAAGGAAGGGAAGAGGGGAGGAGGGAGAGAGAGAGTGATTGACTGTGAATTCAAGGCTAGTGGGAGCAAACCGAGAATTATTGCACGGCTAAAGGGAAAGATGATTCGTACCAACACAGGATGCCACGCCTTGAGCGTCCTTCACTCAAGTAGTACCGGCACCACAGTTCTTGATGACGCACGTATCTGAAAGGAGGCATTGAGAGAAGTGATTAGAAGAGTATGGCACGAAAGAACATAATGCCTTGTAGGCATCCACCATGTACCATGTGCCATGTGCCATGTACCATGTGCCATGTGCCATGTACCATGTGCCATGTACCATGTGCCATGTGCCATGTACCATGTGCCATGTGCCATGTGGGGGAATGCAAGAAGAGCATAGAGAATGGTTCAACGCACACACCCTTGCGCCGGTGACAGCACAGCACGACACCCCTTTGAAAGATTTCTGCGGACAACATATGCACCAGTGCATGCGGGATTGAGCACGCACCAGTGCATGCGGGATTGAGCACGCATCAGTGCATGCGGGATTGAGCACGCACCAGTGCATGCGGGATTGAGCACGCACCAGTGCATGCGGGATTGAGCACGCACCAGTGCATGCGGGATTGAGCACGCACCAGTGCATGCGAGATTGAGCACGCACCAGTGCATGCGGGATTGAGCACGCACCAGTGCATGCGGGATTGAGCACGCACCAGTGCATGCGGGATTGAGCACGCACCAGGGCATGTGGAGGCGTCAGTCTGTAGAGCAAAGCCAACGTCGCAAACGCAAGACGCCACTCCAGCAGCGTTCTTGACGCACTTGCCGTTGACGCCACACTTCTTGAGCGCGCATGTGTCTGGGCGAGTGGAGAGCAGGCAGGGGGAACGTGTGGGGCGAGAGGGACACGACTAAGGGAGAGGCGCATGATCCACAGCAGCACTCACTTGATAGGCAAAAGCAGTCTAAATGTACCAGCGCGAAAGGCATGGCACATGGTATGGTTACGGCATTCCCAAGGCATGGCACATGGCATCTGACCGGTGCATGTGACGCCATCAGCCTGCAGCGCGAAGCCAGTGTCACACACACAGGACGCCACTCCAGCTGCGCTCTTCACACACTTAGCATTAGCCCCACATTTCTTCAGAGCACACGTGTCTGCTAAGAGAAGGGTGGAAGGCACAGTGAGTGGGGAGGGCAAGTGACATGTGCGTGAAGGAAGGAAGCAGGAAGCCTTTCACGCTATGTAATCACACATCAGCTCAGCACGTCCAAATCAACCATTGCGTGGCTTCTCGTAATCACACGTCAGCACATAACATACGCACCAGCACATGTAGTCTTGTCAGCCTGCAGCACGAAGCCAGTGTTGCACACGCAGGACGCCACTCCAGCACTGTCCTTGATGCACTTGCCGTTGACGCCACACGCCTTGAGTGCGCAGTTGTCTGGGGGGAGGGGAGGCAGAGTGGAGCGATTTGAGTGGAGATTAACAATAGATGAAGGGAATCGCTGACAAGCCTCAGTCTGAAATTATGACGCTCTAAGAGGGCTGTGGTGATGAGCAGCACTGGCCAGCAGCAGCACTCACCACAGCAGCATTGGCCAGCAGCAGCAGTGACTCACCAGCACAGCCGGTGGGGGTCATGGCGAATCCAACGTTGCAGACGCAGCTGGCGACGCCCCTGTCCTTCACGCACACCGCATTGGCGCCGCAGCCCCGCCGCACACACGAGTCTGGCGGATGGAGATCACAGCGACATAAGAGAAAGGGAGGAGCCAGGAGGGCAAGGGCAGAGAGGAAATAGTGGGATGAGGACGAAAACAGGAGATGAAAGTTAGGTGAGATGGAGCATGCACACGTGGAGCAACGAGACGTGACGTGACGTGACGTGACATGTGAGGGATCCGTCTGACAACCTGGGATGGTTCAAGACAAGAGTGGAGTAAGGCGGAGAGAATGGAGCATGGATGGGCACGGTGAATCAAAAGGAACGGCGCGAGGAGCGGTGAGAGGTGAGCAATGAGCGGTGAATGGGAGGAGTGCCAAGAGTGGTGAGTCCGTCGCACCCTTTGAGGGATTGAGGGCACGTAGACGGGCAAGGGTGCGTTTGAGGCGGTGGCAGTCATGTGATGTGAGGCAGGCGGGTGACTTACGGTCAGCGGCGGTGCTTGAAGCAGCTGTCAGCAGGCCGTGCGAATGGCGAATGGCAGCAGCCCTGGGCGCACAGGCTGAGCGCGCATGGGGGAGAGAGGGGGGAAAGGGGAAGAACGAGAATGGGATGAGAAGGGAAGGAGGCTTAAGGGGAAGGGGTGAATGGGGAAGCGGGAATGTGGGGAAGAGGGCGGAAGGGGGAAGGGGGAACGGGAGGAGGAGGGAGAGGCTGAAAGCAGATTCGAGAGCACGAGGGCGTACATGAGAGCATGAGAGCAGCCAGTGCAGCGAGCACGAGGCTCCGCACAGCCGTGCCGTGGGAATGCGAACCCATGGCAATCAACAGGTGTGGCGAGACGGGCTGGAAGGACCATCGGCAGCAGTGCTGCCAGAGGTGATGCGCGGATGAGAGGCGGCGATGAGCCTCCGAGGGCTCACTCGTGGCGTGGCGTTTGACGAGAGGAGTGGAAGGAGAGGCGATGAGTGGAAGTGAGAGGCGATGAGTGGAAGTGAGAGGCGATGAGTGGAAGTGAGAGGCGATGAGTGGAAGTGAGAGGCGATGAGTGGAAGTGAGAGGCGATGAGTGGAAGTGAGAGGCGATGACATCGGAAAAATGTCCGCCCAGTTTGGGGCGGTTGACAGTCGAGGAGGTGAAGCAGCGTGGGAGTTGATGGTCGTGTACCCAGTGCCTAGTTAACGAGGTAGTCATCTACCCAAAACTGGTGGTTCCGTCAACGGTGGTTGACAATCACATTTCGGTGAGAAGGTAGGTACAGTCGGGCGGTGGTTCACGCAGCAACCACGCTTGGATTCTGCAGGTTGCGGTCGTTTTACGACAGGGTCGTCAACCACATCAGCTCAATGTGTGATGTTCGGTTGGCCACGTGGACTGTAGGAACAGCTTCGATTGTGGTACACACCATTGCAACGAACAGTTGGGAACAGTGTACGATATGGTTACCTGAGTAACAAATGTCAAATTGTAACTATATAAATTAAATGTTCTGCCCTGTACAAAGTAATTATATTTATACGTAAAAAGTGCGCATCGATATAATCATGGTTTGGACGTGTGAAATGATGTGCTTGTATGCGGCAATTATCTACACATTTTAAATCATTGCTACAAAACACAGAAACAATATTTAGAGCAATAAATTTCTAGCTGATTAAAATTGGCAAAACTAGAAGAGCTACCTTACATTATGTAAAAGCTGCATAATATCATTGACAACTTCACTAATCACACATTGTTAACAGGAGGCCAGGGGGTTGGAACGACCCCAGAGGGGAAGAAAAACAGCTCATAGCCCTCAATCAAAATCCTAACCTTCCCAACACCCATCTCAAACCCCATGGGCTCATCGATCTTGAAGGGTTTCCTTCAGCCATGCCGCAACCACCCTCGTCTTGGCATGCACATTGTTGCGGTTGTTGGTCTCGTTGTTGTCAAGTGATGCATAGCCCTTCTTGCCCTTGTGATTCTCCAATGGCCATTCGACCTACCACCAATGAACTCGTTATTCGTTAAAAACAATGCTGCCAGGGATTAACAATATAGATAAGATCACAAGCGACTTCTTACCACGTTGCACAGATAGCCGACTGCAGGAATCTTAACTGCAAACATGTTGCACCGGGCACTGACGAATGCCTTCTTGACTGCCAGCTCAAAGCCCGCATTCGCAAAAGGTCGGCCCTGAGCAGAGCAGTGCCAGTCGTAGCCATACTTTGCTGCAGAGGTAAAACGATGGCAATCAGATATGGGAGCTATAGCATACCAGCAAGGTGTGAAGGTTTCAACCGAACAGAATACTCACGATGTTTAAACTTCTCGACCCACTCCTTCTCATCACGCGCCTGTGTTGGAATGATGCCACCAACCTTCAAGAGGAACCACTTTTCCTTGTTAATGACGCCACCAGCACCCCACGCCCAGAGCTTGATCGGCTTGTTCATGTTCGCACGTTTGCAGCCAATCACCTTCAGCGCCCGTTCAATGCGCTTGTTGTTCCCGCCCATGAAGAGGTAGTACTCATCTTGTGTGGTCCCCTCAGCTATGTACTTGCGCACCAAATGCGGCTGGAACTCTTCCCACAGTGGATAGAACTCCATGTCTCCTGCAGGGGCAAGAGTGATGAGCCAGGCAAAGGTTTTACCCACCATTTCCTGACAATCAACACAAAAAAGCAGACGGAAGGGGGGTTACATTGAGGCACCAGACATGCTTTACACGTGATCATGGAATGTACTTTGAATAGAACAGAGGGTAGAGGGAGAGGGGACGAGGGCGGGAAGCAGGGGGGAAGGTAGGGGGCGGGATTCAAGAAACAAGAGCAGCTACGACAGCGCACGGCATAAAATACATTCCACTAAAATCACATCGAGAGTAATTATACTCACATCGAACGCATCATCGCTGCTGAGCGATGACGGAATGATCGGGTTTAAGGCACCGTCCTTACGGACGTTCTCCATTCGGACATGTGGGTCAGAAGGGTCCCGAACCGCATCCACGTCCGTGCTCGTTCCAGCAACTTCCGCGGAAAGCTGTCGCTGCATCGACTCCAGCTGCACTTTCAGACGGCCACCGTTCAGCCTCCACCGTCTTGATCTTGGTCCTTGCCTCCTGCAGCTGAGCTTGAAGCACAGACACCGTGTTCTGCAGGTCACGTAGTTGCGCCTCCAGTTGTCGTGCTTCCCTGAAATGGTGCGCACCAGCAACTAAAAGATACGCACGGGGGATAACACGCACCGACACACGTATTCACAACATGGAGTTATAATTAGGGAGACTCTTAACCAACGGTATAGGGGCAGTGAACAAGTTAAGCATGCAAACAGCTATACGGAATGCTCTTGAAGATAACACGAAGGGAGGGAGGGGCCGAGTGCGGGCGGGGGGGAGAGAGGTTCGAAGAGATTCACAACGTATTCACGAAATGACCAGGGGTAAAGTGCATCGTTACCTTGCGACCGTTCACGCCTTGCGGGTGCTGCCGTTTCATTCTGATGCGACGTGGGTGTCGCCTTATCCGTCTGGCGAACCTCCGCTGCGCGCAACTCCGCTGAGCGCAACTCCGCTGCCCGCGCCTCTGCTGCGCGCACCTCCGATGCGCGAAGCTCCGCGGCGCGAAGCTCTGCTGCACGCATCTCCGATGCGCACAACTCCGCTGCGCGAACCTCCGCTTCGCGCAACTCTGCATCAGTTCCCGCTTGAGCACCGACAGCATCATCCGCATCGTCGTCGTTGAGCTCGTCGTCATCGCTACAAGCCTCAATGCCGAAATCGCCGAACGGAATCGCGCCTCCCTCCTCAGCGGCCTCCATGACTGCTGTCATCATCGGACCCGGAGCGTACACCCCGGCAGCAGAGGCGGGTGCAGGGAGAGCTCGGGTAGCGGCCTCAGGTGCACTGCAGACTACGCCACCAGCGAGAGGAGCGGCCTCACGAGCACTGCAGCCTACGCCGCCAGCGAGAGGAGCGGCCTCACGAGCACTGCAGCCTACGCCGCCAGCGAGAGGAGCGGCCTCACGAGCACTGCAGCCTCCGCCGCCAGCGAGAGGAGCGGCCTCACGTGCACTGCAGCCGACGCCGCCAGCGAGAGGAGCAGCCTCACGTGCACTGCAGCCTACGCCCCCAGCGAGAGGAGCGGCTTCGGGTGCACTGCAGGCAACGCCACCAGCGGCGTTATTGAGATCCTCAGATGCGAGAGCCAGTGTAGGCGAGACCGCGACTCCAGTATCGGCAGGGGAGGGTTCGCCGGCGGAATCAGGGGCAGCGGAGGTTGCGCCAGCGGGAGTTTTGCCATTCGAAGAGTTAGCACGACCGCGCCCTGCTCCGCCACGTTTGCTCTGCCGGCCTCCCCGACGGACTGGAGGCGCTACCTAAGCAGCTTCCTGAACACCGTGCAAGGTGTTGACAGCTCCTTTCTTGCTTGCAGCCTCCTTAGCTAGCAGTTTACGCCTCTTGATCTCCTGCATAAGAACATCATCGTCGAGCTGAGATAGAGCTGAGGGATCTAGAAGATTGAGGTTGGAAAGAGGGTGGGGTAAGGTGACCCCAGCTGCATCGGCTGTAACTCTTTTGCTGTTGCCTGCCCAAGAGAAGTTTCCCCCGCTTGCTGCCATTCTGATGTGGAGATCGATGGTTCACGATGACTTTAGAGTACCGCTTGGAGTAATTGTGATAAAACACACAGTTTTTTAAATATATTTAGCATGGTAGGGGCTTCCATGCTTTGCCTACTGTGAATGGTTCCGTACGAGCAAAACCTTCATATCCCACCTTCCCAAAGTATTATACTTAACAAAAACTCGATGTTGGCGGAAACGACAAAACTTAAAGAGTTGGAAACACGACTGTCGCGTTTCCTGATACGGACTCACATCGCAAGAGACATTGAATATAAAAAAAAACAAGCAGTCTTTCGGAATGTAGACCTTGCACCCTTAATAATAAAATGGGTTCGAAACTGAATGGTTTCCCTAAGCAGCTTCTGTCAAAACGTGAGCGGAGTAGCAAGTAAAGAAGTAATGCAAAAAACTAACCCCTATGACAAAGGCCCGCACAGGACGTGAACCGCGAGATGACGCGGTCAAGCCGATCGGGTTTTTTTTTCCTTCAAGTGCCCTACAGTCAAACCGTCTGTAACATCATGGGTCCTGGAGTCCTTGCCAAGCACAGCTGTGCAGAAGATGCGATGAGGTCCCACGTGTGCGACACGCACTGTACAAAGGAATGGTCGAAAATGTTTGGAAACATCCAGATGCCTCGCAAAGTTGCTTGACGTGCTGCCAGCGCATCACGTGATACATTGCATCAGGTGAAACAGCGCCTTGCTGTATCACCACGATACCCAACCCATGACTTCCGCAAAACCACACCTGCACTGGAACGATCCAGCGCGACACCGCCAGCAGCGCAGGTGCGTGACACAGTGAGGTTCGATGTCTGTACACCCGTTGCATTCGTCGGTCGCGTGAGGCCACTGTCCTTTCAACGACAATGACTCAATAACGGAGTGTTGCGATGTAAACGCTGGGGAAAGTTGTGCTAATAAATATTTACAAACAAACCCATGAAGGGCTTACCCTTCATGGCAAATGTTGTTGACAAGGCATTTGTCAACGAGACCAAGGATTGGAGAGTCACCATGCAAACCTATTAACCAGCCACTTGTCTGCGTTTTTGTCTGGCCGCACCAACTGAACCGCTCGCTTGTTACTATTAATACTAATCACTCGATACCTCTGCTAAGAGGACTCCAAGTGCAAGACCTTGCACTTGGTAGCTGCATCAACCCTGGCCTGCTCCCTGTAGTACTTGATAAACGCATAGTTCTTTGTTGTGCCCCCGACGTTTGCATGAAACAACAGCAGTGTCTTCGCAAACCACTCCTCGTCCCCGTCAGAGCCCTCACCCTTTACCGCCACATCAGAATACCATTGCCGACCGTGATGCATGGGCAGGGCGCGGATGCGATGAGGCAGGCGGCTATACTGTGCATCAACCGCGGCTGGCATGGCGAGTTCCCAATGGACCTGCAATGGTACAACAACCGGAAAGTGTCAGATTATTAATGCTAAACATGGTTTGCTACGACAGTGTTGGATGGTGTACGTACATGTACTTCTTTTATTTCTTCCTCGTTGCCATCGCAGTCAGGTGCCCTATCCAAGGCCGAACGCAAGTGCTTCAAGTCCTCGCCAATTATGGCCTGCAACGGGCCATCACGCTTCGCGTCCGGTACCTGAGGGTACGGGGTTGCGTTATCCGTGTCGGGCACGTGTAATGTCCAACTCCTCTTGGACATAACTCGCTCGCCTGTCCGTTGGGCCTGCACACAATGCAACGCTTGGTCACTCCGTAATGCATATGCAATGAGGGATCTACACGTGATAGTAAACTAAAGATTCAACTATAACATACCTTCACCATGGCAGTGTCATACTTCTTCTTCTTCTCGAGCTGTGGAGCGATGAATTGGAGACGAAGACACGCTTCCTCGCTGCCCACGATCTGGCTATTGACGGACCTTTTATTGGACGCCCTGTAAGGGTTTTTTATGTACTCTATGTGGAGGTGCTCGTACAGCTGCGCCGAATAGTGCTCGGGCAACCCCGACCTACGAATAGAGTCAATGTAGTGACTTATGAGGTGCATTTTTATGAAGTTCCAGTCCGAAGTGTGTGGGAAGGCGGTCTTGAGGTTGTGTAACATCCTGCGTCAAGGTAAGATGTGTAGCCATTAGTGTTGGATATATCAGCAAATGTTGATAGCAAAGTGCACTACACAACTCACATGTGTGCCTTCGTCTTGAACTCAATGAGAGTGGTCTCGGTGTGGTCCGATGTCCGCGCGCACTCGAGATACCACTCGATGTACGAGACGAGTGCGTCCATCTGCTCCTGGGTGATAAATCCCGTCACAATGAAAGGAAGTATCTGCATGACAGAACGGTGCTCGTAGGCCTGGTAGTTTGCCCCCTTTTCGAAGTACTGGCCTGTGGGCAACCGCATGTTCCCCCCCCTTATGTTCTTCTTGTAGTACCTAAGAATTCTGTCTAGTTTCTTCCTATCTGCCAGCAGCTTCACGTGCACTCTAATGAAGTCTACAATGTGCTCAAAAATGCCCAAATCCGCTTGGTGCATCACATCGGGCAGCACCGCCAGGTACGGGTTCAGAATCGTGTCACACTCCCACCTCCAACCGCTAAGGAAGCTCTGCACAAGTCAAAACCAGCACGGTGGTCTTTGTAAGATTAGGGCATATAGGTGTGGAGCAGCCCCCATAAGCAACAACTATAACGATCTATACCTGCACTGGGTGTGTGGACAATGTCGCGTCTGCATCGTGTGCGACCCAGCCCTCCAAAATGTCCCGCAAAATGGTATCTTGCTCGCACGGTGTTCGAGCGTCGATACGGTCCTGCAGCACTGCCAAATGTTTCTTATCGACCTTGCATATCGAACAAGGGAACATGGTTCCCAACGACTTCGTGCATGTGATCTTGCACGACTCTGGGTAGTCCGACACATAGGCATACAAATGGGGCCACACGTTGATGCTCTCCCCAGCTGCGTTCTTCATTGCAATGCCGGTGTAGGAAGCCGTCTTGAGAGACTGCAGCACCTCTCTCATGATGTAGTTGTGTACTTGCATCTTGTCCACCACGTTGTACTCGACAGGAAACTCTGGGAGAAGCGCCAGAAGCACGTGGCCATAGGGTTGCCACCTGTCGTCCTTATCAATGTTTCCCAGTGTGAGATACACGGGATGCCCTTTCGCCTTCCCTCTATGATCCATATGCGTTTCATCGCTCGCAAGGATCAAAGCAGCCACAACTCCGTCCGGATCCTCCGCCCTTACCAAAGTTTGCAACCTCTCCCACCAAAGCCCAGTTTCTGGTGTGCTAAACACCCTCACGTTTCCAACGTATTGCGGATCGGCATGAAACACCATCTTTGCGGATAGCTTAGGGTGCTTCAACATGTCCTGCAAGGCAACCAACGGATCACAAAACCAATATTCCAGCCATGCTTTATTTCTTGACCGGATGGTCTTCCGTTGCCACCCTCGGTGGCCATCTGTCGCCTTGGACTCTGCGTACGCTTGAACATAGCGGTAGGTCTTCCAATCTTGAATTTCAAGAATGGTCTTGCGCAAGATTTCCAGCAAGGCATTGACCTGGCTGATTGAGAGTCGGCACGTGAGTATCCAA